GGTCCCCGCTGCATGACCCCCTCCGGGGCTCCGTGACCCCCACCCCCGCAATGCCCCCCCCCCCCCGACGGTGTGCAGCCCCGGCGGCAGCCCGTCCCGTCGGGAAAGCTCCCCCCGGGACCACCGCATCCCGGAGAGGGGGGGATCGCCTCCCGGGACTCCCGCGTCCCGAAGTTGGGGGGGATCGCCCCCGGGACCCCCACGTCCCGGAGTGGGGGGGATCGCCCCCCGGGACCCCCCGGAGTGGGGGGGATCGCCCCCACTGACTCCCTCATCCCGAGGAGGGGGGGATCGTCCCCCAGGACCTCCGCATCCCGAAGTGGGGGGGATCGCCCCCCAGGACATCCGCGTCCCCAGGAGGGGGGGATCGCCCCCCGGAACCCCCCGAAGTGGGGGGGGATCGCCCCCCGCCGCCCCCCTCACCCGACCGGCCGGGGTACCGAGGAGCCCGGAGGGGGGGGTTGAGGGCGCCTACCGGAGAAGGTGTCGAGGGCGGTGGGCTGGTACTCGTCGGGGTACCCGTTGGTGGTGTAGCTGACGACCAAGCTGGTCTTGCCCACGGCGCCATCGCCCACCAGCACGCACTTGATGCCCAGCTCCGGGCCGCTGCCCCGGGGGGGGCTATGTCTCCGCAGGGCGGGCGAGTAGTCCAGCAGCTCCTGGGGGGGCATGGCGCCGGCGGAGGAGGGGGGTCAGTTCGAGGGGCGGCGCGGCGGGGCTCCTGCCATGCCCGGGCGGGCGAGCTGCCGTCGGGGTTGGGCTCTGCCGTGCGGGGCCACCCTCTCCCTCCCGCCCGGCACCGCTCCTCATCGCTACACCTGCCGCCCTGCGCCCAAAACCGGCTCCCATTTCCCTAATCCCGCCCCGGCCCGCCCCGTCGGCAGCGGGGCCCAGGCCCCGGGTGGCTGCATCCCGCTCCGCCGGGGTGACACCCCCCCAGCAGCCAGTCCCCTCGGGATTTGGGTAGGAGCAGAGGGTCACGCCGTGCTCTGCTTTGCAGAGGGGAAAGCTGCCCCCACCCCTCCCCAAACACCCCCATTTCTGTTCAACATGTTCAAAAGAGGGACGGAATCATTGGAGTTGGAAGGGACCTTCTAGAGATCATCTGGTCCAACCCCCCTGCCAAAGCAGGGCTGCCCAGAGCACATCACTCAGGAGCATCCAGGTGGGGCTTGGAGATCTCCAGAGAAGGGGACTCCACACCCTTCCTGGGCAGCCTCTTCCAGGGCTCTGCCACCCTCACCCCAAAGAAGTTCTTCCTCAGATTGGAGTGGAACTTCCCATGTTCCAGCTTGTGCCCGTTGCCCCTCGTCCTGTCACTGGGAACCACTGAAAAGAGTCCGGCTCCATCCTCCTTCAACCCACCCTTCAGATCCTTGGAAGCATGAATAAGGTCTCCCCTCAGCCTTCTCTTCTCCAGGCTAAAGAGTCCCAGCTCTCTCAGCCTTTCCTAAGGCTGACTCCTGACTCCTTTTGAGAAAACAATGAATAACACTGCCAACAACAACTATTCCCAGCCTTCTGCCTTTGTCATATTCACCACCGGTCGCTCACACACCACACTGTGCCCTCAGCAGGTGAGGAGATGGCTCCATCCCTGCCCTGGGGAGCTCACTGCCCAAAGAAGTACGACTAAACAAATAGAAGAGGGGGAACACGCCGCTCAAAAGAAGAGACGTGGCCACGCTATCACAGCAACCATTGTGCCCCAGTGTAACACCACCGAGGGGTTGAAAACCTGGGGGACAAAGTATTGATGCCTGCCACCACAGAATCACAGAATCTTCATGGTTGGAAGGGACCTTAGAGATCATAGAGTCCAACCACAAAAAAAACCCACCTAGTATTTTTTGCCATAGCTCGTATTGCAACATCAGCTTTGAAAGAGGAGTCGTTTCCTAATGGAGGAGCTAAACTCAGGCTGTCAACGAATGCTACCACTTTGGTTAGGTGATGTCCTTCATCGTGCTCTCAGCAAGGGAGACCCATGCTGCAAGGAGTCATTGATAAGCAGCGCCAAAGCTTGTGTCTCCCTGCACCTTCTACCCACACTGAGAAGCTACCCAGGTGTTCCACCAACACTCATGCTACCCTTGAGAAGACACCTTTAAGTCTAAAAGAGTCTAAAAGGCTTAAAAGCAGTCTAAAACGCTTTTCCCCATGGTCGAGAGGTGACAAACACTGCAAACCCTTCAGGTGCAAGAGCCTTGGCTGGACAAAGCATGTCCACTCTTTGGAGACAGCCCTGGGAAGAGCAAGAAGGCTTCTTCTCTGCGTTTTTCTCTAGCAGTTTGCTTTAGTTGATCTTACTAGCACAAACTTAAATTTTCTATAGCTACAAAAAAAACCCCCAGAGATGGTTTACAACCCAGGCAGCTGGTATGATGAACTCGTTCAGAGGCAGGTGACAGCTGATCGGCTCCAGAAGAGGCAGAAAGCGCCGGGACAGGTGACACTCCGTAACGTGTGAGGTGCATCTCCTCTGCTGGGATGGGGCAAGGAGAGGCTCCAGGACAGCTCGGGGAGGCAGCACAGGGAGTGAGGATCCAGCAGAGGGTTTCCCACTGCATTTCAGGCAGGGGCTGACATTCTGTGAACTGTGACATTTCCATTTCATTGGAAGAAATGAATGTAAATGAGGGATTATTCACCAAATTACTCACTGTTGGCAAAGTGTTAGTGGCAGGGGGGAAGAGATAAAGAGAAGCTGGCAGCTCTTTTCTACACGCCGTGTACTTAGGAATGGATGTTCCTTAAGAAGACACACTGTTGCCCCCCTCCAAAGACTGAATCCCTTTTTCTCTTCTTCCTTTCCTGAAACCTCTTCCTTCTGTGACTGCGTTCCTTTTTTTGCCTCGCAGTTTCTGACAGCCATTGGTTGACACACACTTAACTAGTGGATGGGGCTTAAGTGATTTTTAATCTATATTTAAACGAAGCAATTAAGCAAACAAACGGGGCAGCTCCCACGGGTTGGTTTCTCAGGTCCTGCCTTGCTCCTGACGGCCGACAGAAGACACGGGTTTAACTTCATGACGCAGAGAGGGGTCAGATGTTGTTGGTTTTGCAAGATCTTTTGTACAGTTTTTTGGTTGGTTTTTTTTTATTTATTTTTTTTTATTTTACTTTTTATTTGAGTGAAAGTCTGTCCCGTTCCTCTGAGCTGCTGCCCTGCCTCCCCGCCGTGGTGCCTCCTCTGCCAAGGGAGTGGGAAACGCGCAGCCTGCAAGGCTGCGTTTGGCCTCTCTCCCGGGAATTGTAATTAGCCCCAATTACGACGGTACTCCTCACGATGCGAGTTCCCATCCACTGGGAATTACGTGCAGGAGATCAAACTCCTTGCAGGCAGGGCAAATACGGATTTCAGGTGCCGTGAGCGTTTCCCCGTTATTCTGCTGGGCTGCACAGCTTCTTAAGCAGAAAAGCTGCTCCATTTGAGTACACAGTGATTTCCAGTGGAAATCACCACCAAACAAACTTTATACATCTGTAAAAAGTTCTAATATTTTAAAAAACCACAGTTATTTTGAGGAAGACACTTCCTTTTCTGCCCGTTTTTGTTAATTGTAGCCACCCTTCTCACTGGAGCTGTGGCAGAAGTCCATCTATGGGCCAAGTTAAAAACAGTATCTTGTTTTTAAGCCAATTTGTATGAGGAGGAAACGAGGGCTTGATCCTTGGCGGGGACAGGACAAAGCTATGGATCAGCTCAAACTATTCCATATAATTTCCCCTCTAAAGTGCAGTGTTACTGGAAAAGTGGGAAATTGTGATGCTGGGATTTATTTTGCAGCCAGTGGTCCTGACTTGCACTGGTTCTTGAGCGATACCACGTCTTCGGCAACGTCATATTCTGCCTCCCTGGCTGATCCCATTTCTAACTTCATAACTATGTGTGGTTGGTGTTTTTGGTGGCTGGCACGTTCCAATAGAGTCTTCTCGCTGATATCTTTAGAGCTGCTCTAATTTGACTGACTTGGACATGAGTTGTATTTGCACTGTACTCTTATATGGTAGCCTTTACTCACAGGTTGAGTTCACGTTCTCTTCTATGGTAGCCTTTACTCACAGGTTGAGTTCAGTAATTCACAGAAATCAAATCTTTATGGTGGTTTATTTGCACCTATGGACAGCTGGAGCCACCTCAGATTCTATGAAGGCAGCAGTTAAGAAGAGCAGAAGGTTGGACACTGAGTGACAGAGGTTAGGGTGGGCAAGAAGACGTAAGCTGCTCAGTGGGGAAAATAATGAATGGTATGGGGAGAGAGAGTGTTTTCTTCCAGGTCTTGGAAAATCACCTTCCTTTTCTGAAAATCCTGAGAGGGTTAGAGCACCTCTCCTGTGTCTCTGTGCCTGAAAGCCACAGAGTGGGAGCCACTCTTGGAGTTTTTTGCAAAGCCTAGAGAACTACTACCTAGAGAGCTGCCTCAGAAAAAGCATCGCGTGTCGTGGGAGTCGGCAGACCTCAGTTTTAAAAACAGCAGGGCTCCTTTCTCATCACAGGGGAGAGGAAAATTTATCAGCTGCTCTTCACCCAGCCAGTGAGCAAACCTGGCCTTCAGCTTTGCCCGCGTTTGTACAAGCGGGCTAGAGTTATGTCAACACACTCCCTTGGCAAACGATGCCCTCGGATCGCACTGCCGAGCCCTTTCACGGAGCTGCCCGTGAGGAAACACCAAACAATGATGAACACAGGCAACAACGCCATCACCCACCCGGGTGGGGACCTGGATTGAGAGAGGAGCTAAACGGGAGCGCGGGTGCCAGAGCAAACCGGGTGCCGTGATGCCAAGAGATAAGGTGAAGAAGTGGAGACACAGCCGCTGCCCGGCCGGTCGCCTTCCTAATGGCAAGGGATGAGACAACTGGTGCTGAGTCACCGGCGTTTTGCCCTGCACCTGAGTGTGCATCCTCCCTGGGAAAAATCAGGCGTAATTACCACTTAAAAGAAGTGACAGACAAAAGGGTGAAGACAAGAGCCTGAGCCTGGTTTTCCCTCCTCTAGTCCCCGCAACCTGCAGGAAGTGATGTCAAACGCGCCTTCGTATCATTTTCTATCAGCCTCGCAGAGGCAGAAATAGCCACAACGCACAAGTCAGTGGAAAATCAGGCTTTGGCTATTCATGGAAAAATTACTACAGCTGAAATCCAAGGAAGAAAGATCCTAGGATTTGCTTTCCCCTCTGGAGCTCTTGATTGATAAGAGCTCCGTAGTTCCTGAGTCCAAAGCAATAAGAACACTTTACAGTTCTATAGCAGCTAAGGGGTACTTCTGGTGTGCACTGGAGATGTGTGATTTTGAAATGCCTTTTAGGAAAATTTAAAAAAGAGAGAAACAACATGAGAATACAGCTCCCACTATCCTGGCCTCTGAACTACTTTATTGCTCCTTGGAAATAAAGCCATGCCATGGGGGGTGCATAGAGATGTTTTGGTTCTTCTGTTCTCTGCCACTCTAGTTAAACGCGGAGGCAAAGAGCTACAACAACAATATTATAGTACATTTTAAGATTACAGAATAGTATATTCAAATGAAATGACAATGCCACTAGCTTAAAAATATTTTCTTAAATATTGCAAGAAAAGGTAAGCACCTATATCGTACTCGGCCCCATTCTCAAAGACAAATTCATCTCCTGCCTGACTTGCTCAGGAACGAGTCCTACCCCTCAGATGTTCTATAAATAACTTAGAAGTATGTTGCCACCTGCTGGAGAAAGTACATCTTTTAATAAATCAACGTAAATGTAAAAAAGTGGGCAAGGTTTAAGGCACTCAAAGCCCTTTCTTTAAATCTGAAGCAGAAATGGCAAGCTTCAGACTAAGGATAGGTTGGGAGAAAACGCTCTGAGCTTAATTTAATCA